CTGACTCTCTGAAAATGATTTTGTTTCTCCATGTCTTATATTTCTCAGAAAATGATAATAGTTTCATTTTGAGTAGGAGTAGCTGCTATTCACTCATTAGAAGGACAAGAGGCTGATGTCACGGTCTTCTAATTCTCTGAAAATGAGTTATTTCCTAGGACTTTTTTGTTATGAAATGAAAAAGGTTTCTGAACTAACTACAAAGGAGATACAACCAAAGTACAGAGAGTTTACATTTAAAAACTTGGAATTATAAAATAAAAATAGAAAAACTTGGAATTAAAACAACTTATGGTTCTTCACTGATGCGTGTTTAAGGTATACAGGAAGCTTTGCCATGCTCCGGGCTGCCATCATTTCCCGTGGTTCTCCAGAGCTATAAACGCTTGTCACGAATCCCTCTGGCCTCCCAGGAGGTGAATCTCTCTGTAAGAGCACACATGCTCTGTGTCATGATTACTGCCACATGGCCTTCTCAGGTGGAAAGGATAGAAATGGGCTGTTGCTGTAACCCTAATTTGGAAGATTCGGCTATAAAACGCAACTGTATATAGAGCATGCACTATTAATAACATAGTATATGGTGCTTAAAATATTTAAAGGTACTTCTGCCTGTTGTATTCTAACCCCAGAGCTGCCTTTGGAGAGGACCTTATCATCAATTTGCAGTTGTCCAAAACAAGAAAAGTCTAATAGAGTAAGCATCCTGAGTGAGCTCATGCAGGAGGAGAGCTCATGGCTTTCCTTCTCTCTCAGCCCGAGGTCTGCTGGGAGAGGAAGCTGCACATGTGGCTCCCAAGGTGGCCAGGTTGTGTCAGCTCACTCCTAGCACCTCTGCGTGAATGCACGCACTGTGCCTGTCCCATCTGTACGAAGAATGAAGTCTAATATCCTTGTTCCTCTTTTTTCATGAGCTAAGACATCAAGAAGAACAGTAAATGACACTACTGTTTTTTCTCCAAGAAGACTTTTTATTTTCTTTTTCATTTATTCAGCATCACATTGGTCATTCAACAGTATATTGCTGTAAATTTTTTAACTTTCTTCCTATTGTTGATTTTATTTTATGGCTTTCCATTTAGAATGTATAGTAACTGTGTAATAGAGACTATCATATCCAGATGTGAAGCTATCATGCAGTATGCATTTCTACTGCCAAATCAAAGATGAACTCCCAATGAAACTGTTAAATATATCCAGACAATAGGATAGTGCCATTGTCCATACCTACAATGTCAGGATACACTTAAATAACAGAATGATGGACTTACGACTGCTTATGAAGGACTATGCTATTATATTAATATAGGGGAAATCATTGAGAAGAGGAGATTTGGGGACTGGGCAAGGGAGACTGGGCAGAGCCTATTGAATTGTATCATGAAAAAAAAAAAAGCAGAATGGTAACTGACACTGACTTGACTTGCCCAGGCTGGCTGGAGGCTCAGGATCTGAGATCCTTTCCTAGAATGTTTTTATTGTTGTTTTGCTTTGTTTGTTTGGTTTTTTTTTTGTCGTTTTTAGCATCTAAAGAACTCAGTTTCTTCACTCCCTAATCCCACCCCAAACTGTAATAAAGGATAAACAATAGACGTTAATGCCTGCCCGCGCCTGCCTGCGCCTGCCCGTGCTTGCCCACCTCTGAGGGAGGAGGGAACTGGCAGTGTTTCTAGCAGGAGCCATTTCTAAGGGTTTGAAACTCAGTCATAAATACTTGTCATTGGCAGAAATAGCCTGGAGGGTCGCTGGCCTGGAGTAAATTACTCATTTATAAATTTCACCCAACTTCTTTAAATTGTTTTAAGTGTGTTTATTTTCCACGATGGGAGGAAAAATAATGGCTTTATGGTTCAAAACACTTTTGTCCTCCTATGAATCAATGCAGCATTGGAATCTGAGAGAGAAAAGTCAGCAAAATTCAGCTGCTTAAAACAGGCAGCACTTCTTCTTGCTTGATGAGACTAGCTTGAGGACTGGCGTTATTAAATCTAAGGTCTATTAGCAGAACATGAGGAAAAAGTGAGTGCTGTGTGAACTTGATTAAACACTCCTCCACAAATTCATTCTCACTTACTTTTACTCTTTAGAAACTTTTGCAGCTGTACAGGGCCCAGCCAGTCACGTGGGCACACCGTCCTGGTCACAAGGACTAATTCAAAGAGAGGCAAAGAGAGGGCGGGGGAAGAAGTGGGCAGTAGTTTTGGCTTAGGTAGGCTAGAATGGCTCAGAGTGGGGTGTCTCTGGATTGAGTCAATTTGGCCCTCGGACTTGTACTATATTGCCTAAAGGAAAATCTGTTTCAAGCCTATTTTCAATTACCTAGGATTTATCAAAGCTATGTAATCTCTAAGGAATAAGTAACTAGATTTTTAAATTAGTTATTCTGTCTATGGTACAGGTACACAATGAACCATGCAGTATTTTATGTTGAGAGACTAAAAAAATAAAGTAAATGGATTTGACTCCAGCAGGTCAAACACAAGTAGAAAAGTAGGTAATATGTTTTCTACAAAGTGGAAGATTTGAGCTTTGGATTCATAATTGAGACGTATGGCAAAAGAAGTCTTAATTGCTAGGTTCATACAAATTAGGGCATTATGAAGAATGGCATTGTAATTCCTAGGGGCTGAGTCCACTTCTAAAATGAAAGTTTCTACGTGCTACACTTTAAATTCTCACACCAATATTTGGTAGAATAATCAGTGTTAATGCAGATATTTGTTGACTTTTTTTTCTAAATTCATAAGTAACATACCATTTAGAGAGTTTGTAAAACATAAAAAGTCTAAGAGAAGCAATTGCTTTTAAAAAGTTTTAAAATATATACTTGTCCAACATAGACTGAGCATGTCAAGGTCTACAGGATGATGGTTTGGTATATGTGAACACAGTGAAATATTTGCCACATTTTGTCAAGTTAGCATATTCCTCCCCCCTCTGCCCATCTTACAACCGGAAGTTGCTGTGCTTTTACCAGTACCTGGTCGCCTACCTTCTCCAGCCCTCCTTGCCAACGCTGAGAACGACTCCTCTGCTCTGCTGCTGGGACTCCATGCATGAGATCATAGAGTATTTGTTTTGTTTTGCTCTGAGTTATTTCACCCAGCATCCATGGTATCATGACAGCATTTCATTCCTTCAAAAATGGACAGTTGAGTTGAATAGACATTTTTCAAAAAGACCAAACTTACTGGAAAGGTGGTCATCATTGATAGTCATCTGGGAGACACAAATAAATACCGCAAACATCACCTGTAACCTGTTAGGATTGGCATAACCATGAAAAGATGGCAAGTATATGAAGATAACTCCTGTACACTGTTGTGCAAGGCAAGTTGGTATAGCTGATGTGGGAACCAGAATGTGGATCGATTGGAGTTGAAAGCAGAACTGTCACTCTGTTGGATGTCTTTACAAATAAAATGAAATCAATATCTTAAAAATATATATTCACACCTGTGTTCATTTAGCTTTAGTCACAATAATCAATCAGATACAGAAACAACAGATGAAAGGAGATGTGGAATGTATACACAACGAGGCATAATTCCATTATGAAGAAAAATGAAAGCCTGTGGCACGAGTGGTGCAAGAACCTGGAAGATATCATGCTGGGGGAGGGGAAAGCCAGATTTAGAAAGACAAATTCCACATGATGCACAGAATCAAGCTGAAATAAATAAAATGTGACACACCTTTTCTTTTTTTTTTCCAAAGTGTGTAAAAGAATGAGTAAGTCAGACTCCACATTCTTGCCATGGAAAATAGTGCAGCTAACAGAGGATTTGGAAGGAAAATACAAGGAGGGGAAAGGGGGGAACACTGGCTGAAAAGTGTGATTCCCAAAGAGCCCAGGGATCCTGAGCAAACGGCCAAGCTTCACTCTGAGAACTAGAGGCAGCTTTCCTTTCCTTTCCTTGCGTGCTTCCTTCCTGTTGGGATGGGCAGAGTGGCATAGGGACGGCACGCGCGATGGAAATAACCACGAGTCCTCTGCCCAGGACCTTGTCTCCCAACAGCAAACACTGATGGGGTAGCTTCTGGGTGGGGTGCGTTTCCTGGGTGTGCAGAGGCTGGAAGAGGCAGCAGTCTGACTTCTCTGGGCTGGATCGGCCGTGCAGTGGTGTTTCTCTGGTTCACCGCCGTGTTGAGCGTTGACTCATTAGATTCTCTGCACAGTCTGTGATGTAATTAGGCAGTGTCATTGTCAGCCGGATGAAGAACCCTCTGCTCAGTTGGCTGAGGCATTGGGTGGATGGCAGTTTGATCAGCGGTGAAAGGATGACACTGTCACGTTCCTGGGTGATGCAAAACCCCATGTACATTGGATTGGAGTAACTTATCTTCCCTAATTATGTTTTATCGTGAAGTCAAGTCGAGTGGGATTAAACTAATTCTCCTTATGTGCACCAAACTTCCATGCTTTTGTGCTGAATATACTTACTGTATCAGATATAAAATGTAATCTTCATTTTGTGTTATTTTGATGGCTTCATTTTCTGCAGCAGATTTGGTGCGTGTGACAGGAGCTTACTGGAATTATTCCATAGCTGTTGAACATACGCCCTTTGTATGAGGATACTCAGGGAAAAGCATTAAAAGGTGGTTTATTTTGGTGCAAGAGTGTTTGAAACCCACCCTTACTTCTTGTAGAGTGGTCAAGTTTATGAACATTAGTGAATCCTTAATATGTGTAACTCTCAAAATCATTCTGAATAAAATAAACATCACTTAATTCTGGTTTCCACAAACTTTTTGAAATTGAATTGTTACTTATCCTAAGTTGTTTAACCCAACCTAATCAAGGAACTCACAAAGTCTCTAAGGAGACAAATAATTAGAAGACTCTAAAAGAAAACATCCTTTTCCTTTAACTTTTTCTTTTTGCATTCTCTGCTTCAATTATTGTGCTATAGTTATTATTATACTGTTTATTCACGTTCACATCTTTTTTTTCTGGCTTTAGATTCTTGATTCTTACTACTTTTTTTTTCTTCTAGGTAAAATTGATAACCAATATATCCTCTTTGTGGCTGGAGGGACAGTTTTATTGTTATTTGTTTTTCTGGTTACCACCATCATCGTCATTTCTCGTTACAGGTGAGTGGGACGGCATGCTGTGACTGTTGTTCACCCTGAATAATTCTCCCATTAAAGGTTCTCTATTAAGAACCCCATCGTTTGTCAAGCTGTCTCAGCAATCATGCAGTCTAAAGTATTTTTCTAACATGAAGTACAAGTTGTGGTGGTAATTTTAGAGTAAATTTAAAGCAAACCCAGAGCAGTCATGGAAGTCGGGCTGGCAGCTGCTTCTCTCCCCAGCTGCCCTCACTCTCTCCCACCTGGCTCCCACCTGCTCTAGGGAAGAAGTTGTCAGTAAGAGAGTTCTCTCTCTCTTTCTCTCTCTCTCTCTCTCTGTGTTTGCGTGAGGGAGGGACACAACATGGACACAGAAAGAGAAAAGGACTGAAACAGTTGTTCCCTTACTGGGGGAGCGACTATGTTTTTGATGATGTGTCTCTGGCATTTCATGGACACTTATGTGTTTATTAGGCAAACAAAGATACACATCTCCACTATTCTCTCACAGTAAGTTAGAAACACGCATGCGATTTTTAAAATTATTAATTATTTTTATTTTTGATGATTTTTAAATAGCTGATTATGGTGACAAGGGTCAAGGGCTACAGGAAGGTGGGTGAAATCCCCATTCCCACCTTGTCTTTTTCCTTCCTGTATCTGGGGGTAGGGAGGAGACAAGGAGAGAAGCTGAACTCAACCTCCCAAATGCCTCTGCACCCTGGGATGGAGGACAGCCACTTGACACTAAACCAGGGTCCCCGATGTGGGGCATGCTCTGAGGGTCCTGCTCAAGAGGTTTCAATAGTTCAACAGTTCTGAATTACCGCTGATCTCGCCACTCCAAGCATGATCAAATCTCTCCAGAATCCACTGGTTGACATAGTTCACCGTAGAGTCTCCGTTTGCCCAGGTATTCATTGCCAACACTTGGCTGGGGTAATTGATCAATTTGTTCTGTCCTCCATCCTCTGTTATGGTACCAGGTGTCCTCTGTAAACTGCCATATCCTCCATGTACACCTGGATATGCTGCCTACTGCTCCATCTAAGCCACTGAGAAGGCCCAGCTCTGATACATGCACTCCATGGTCAGATCATGGAACCTGCAACTCTCTCCATGGTTGGGGTTCTGAGTCCAGCAATTCAGCTGGGGGAATCCCCATAGAAACTTCGTCTAAGGTGATCCCAGACCTGATTCTTGTGTGTGCTTGCCAATACAGGGTCTGATATAGTCCACTGCCCCAAGCAGCTTGTGCACATGCTGGTGGTTGCAATTGCTGGGTGAGTTCTGTTTCCAGCCCTGCAAGTACAGTGGCCCTATCGTTAAGTGTCCCTCAGGATTCATTCCTCACCTGCACATACTGTAGCCTTATCCATGGGTGTCCCTAGGCAGTAATTCCAGACTCCCAAGACACCAGAGCTAGCCAGTGGTTGGACAGTGAGCAAAGCCTGGCTCCGTAGGCACTCTGGCTGCCCACAAAACCAGGATTGGCCCACCCCTTCACAGTGATGTGTCAGGAGCTAGGATCCCTAGCAGGGAGCCTGGCCCGGCATGGGTTCTCCTAGCCACAGTCATGGTGGCAATGGGCAGAGCCATGATCCTGAGCATGCCCAGAGCCTTCCAGGATCTTCCTGTAGCATGATCCCTGTGAAGAAAGGAAATTCTCAGACCTCAGGCTTGGACAAGCCCAGGATTGGCCCACCGCTTGGCAGCATTTGCTGTGGAGCTAGGATGCCCAGCAGGAAGCCTGGCTTGGCAGAGGTTCTCCCAGCCACAGCCAAGTGGCTGGGACATTCAGACATCCACACCTCTGAGCAGACTTACCTGGAGTCTACCACATCCAACTTCCAATAGAATTTCCAGCCTAGTTCTCCATTTCATCCTCGTATCCTTGAACACTGTGTGAAGCCCCTTTTTACTAGCTTTTGACTTTAGTAATACTCACCCATCTACTTTCCTGCTTTCAGATCCACCCGCTCACTTCTCCTGGCTCCTCTTCCAAACCTATCAGGAGCATCTCGTTTGATGGACACATTTGGTCTTCCCACTCCTAGCAGAGTTAATCTTACAACTCATTAACCCATTTGTTGAAACTATTCTAACGTTCTGACTGCAGCCTAGTATTCATTTATATTTTCTACCTATGTTACTCCCACTAACATTGACAAATTTTGTGAAAACAACAACTTTTATTCTTTGGGCATACCCAAATTTCTTCCCATTTGTTCTGCTACAAAAATGTGTCTCCTCATATGTGACCTTCATGCTGTGCATGATTCAGTGTGCAGAAGACCTGTGTCCTCGCGGAGAGCTGTCCTGCTTCTCTGCCCCTGCAAACAGACATGATGTCACTCTCCAGAATCACCTTGTGCTTCCTAGCGACTGCTCCCTGCACCCTGCTTTGCATTGTGCTCACTTTCATGCCTGTCTTCTCTTCTGCAATCTTTATAATGTCAGGGATTCTATTTTATTCATTTTTAAATGTTAGATAGTGTTTAGCACTCATCTGTCCAAATAATGGCTGTTCAATAAGCATTTGTCTAATTAAAGCGTAAGGCAATGTTTTTTTTTACCTTTTATTTGTCTGGACAGACTGCCCTCAAATCTTCCCCTGCCCAGAAATTAGAAAATCAAAGTCAATAGCGAAGGGGTGATTGTCACTTGAAAGCTCTCTGCTGGTTCCCGTTGGCTCCCAAAGCAAGGCGCTGGTTCCCGTTGGCTCCCAAAGCAAGGCGCTGGTTCCCGTTGGCCCCCAAAGCAAGGCGCTGAGGGCAGAGATGCACAGAGGGGCGCACAGGAACGTGGACACCATGACCAGAGGAGAGGGACAGAGTGGACGTCTGCAGGGTCACAGATACGGGGCGTGATGGATTATGCATCGCTTTGTACATGACTACCCCAATTGGAATATGAAGTACACTGTCCCATTTGGTTAAATTTGATAGAGAGAAGAGTGGACTAGAAGGTATAATCGTGCCTGAACATGACGAAGGAAAATGCATTTATTCTTTCTATTTTGTCTGTAATAACAATTTTTAGTTGCTACTTCAAATGGAAATATTTCAGGAATTACCCGGAGCATCAACAATGACTCTCAGACAATGCTTGCCTGCTTAAAATAATCCTGCACTTTATGATGGGCTAACTTGGCTAGAAGCCAAAGTGAATTCTTACTTTGCCCCTAGTGCCTGGTGGCCTGAGTGACCCAGAACATTGGGAGTGGTTTATCTGTACTTGTTCTTTATTGCTTTCATGTAGAGATCAGCAGGGGCCTGTGGTTGGGGGGGTGTTGTGTAGTACTGGTAAGTGTGAAAGGAGCCCAAATATAATCTGTAGGCCTTCCCCTCTGACTGTGGGAGGAAAGTTAATAATTGGTGAGACGCTGTTAGGCACTTGTGAGGTTTACACCTAGAATAAGTAAGAAAATGAAGAGATAATGATATAAATAATAAGCATATACCCAAAGGATAAGATTACGTCAGTAGGATGGAAGGATTTCAAGGCGCCCATAGGACACTGTCAGAGTCAGTTTTCATCACCTGGATAATTATTTCTTAGAGGCTTTGTCTTGTTTTCAAGATCTCTATAAAGAAAGTACAGCTTCTGCTGTGAAGAAACTCTGCATTTTTGCCTCTAGCCCATCTACTTTGTGGTTTAACAACAATCTTTTCATTAGAACGATGAAGCAGACAGTCACTGTCTCCCCTTAACTACTTCACACGCAGTACTGCGAGCAGCTGTTTGGACTGTGGTGTTCAAAACTTTAGCTTGTTGCTTCTTCTCTTGTATTATTTAAAATTCTTCATGAAGAAGTCTTTGTAGGTTCTCTTGGCTTTGTGGAGAGTGTGTTGAAGGGGTGGCTCCAGATGAGTCTAGCTGGCTCCTTTGTTCCTTTGCTCTCAGCTTAGTGACTTGGAAAGTAGAAGGGCCTTGGGCCTGACGCGATAGCCTAGTGGCTAAAGTCCTCACCTTGCATGCATCAGGATCCCATATGGGTGCCAGTTCTAATCCCAGCCACCCTACTTCCCATCCAGCTCCCTGCTTGTGGCCTGGGAAAGCAGTCAAGGACGGCCCAAAGCTTTGGGACCCTGCACCTATGTGGGAGACCCGGAAGAGGCTCCTGGCTCCTGGCTTCAGATCAGCTCAGCTCCACCCTTTGTGGCCATTGGGGAGTAAATCAGGGGATGGAAGATCTTCCTCTCTGTCTCTCCTTCTCTCTGTATATCCGACTATCCAATAAAAATAAATCTTTTTCTTTTTTGAGAAAGTGAAGGGCCTGGTTAGAGAGGGCACAGGTCCGTGGATTCATCTCCCGACACTGGGTGTATCTGAAGCTATTTATCCTCATCATACTTCAGTTTCCTGTGGAATGCAGACTCAAAGAAACGTAACAACTTGTATAGATGATTTTAGCGGTGCCTAGAAGATTTTGTAACAGTTAAGTATATTATCACTGTCATACAAAAAATTACAGTTGTCACTTAAAATGCTTTTGATTAGGAAAATGTCTGAGATTATTTGAAGAAGGTGCCAAGCTATTTCTATAACGGGACACTCTTTTCCTTAGGAAAATCACTGAGATAAATTACCAAAAATGCTGTCTGGATGTGCCTGGTGGTCCTCACTCTCGTGAGCACCCTGGAGCAGGCAGGGAGAGGCAAAAGCTGAGGCTTTTGTTGGACTAGAATGTTGGACAGACGCTCAAGGCAATTATGGATGGCTATTTAATTTGCATATATTCTGAGGGTCTGGGGAAATAAAGCATAATCAAAATAAATGCTAGTGTTGGTATGTAACATCTTAATAATCTTTGTTAAATATATGTTCCAGAAGGAGAAAGAGACAGAAAAGAATCCTTTTGGAAAAATCCAGGGATACACAGAATAAGGTGAGAACACTCAGAATCATCATTTTTCTCTTTTATGATTCATGAATATTTTGTCAGTCATTTGATTTTGCAATTAACGATCATTTTTTTTTACCCTTCCTACAATTGCCTGGATATGCTGCTGCCTATTATTCAGTCATTAACCACTTGAGTAAGAAGTTATTTTTCTGAGTTATTTTGCTATTATTAATACCGTTAAAACTACCTTTTTCATAGTAATAGAAGTAAAGGGCAATCACACTGACATAAAAACATTCAATACTGAAATCTGTATGAGTTTCCTAGGGATATGTAACTGAGTGCCTTAAAAGAGCATAAACTGGGCCCCACATTGTAGCCTAGTGGCTAAATCCTCAGCTTGCAAGCTCCAACATCCCATATAGGTGCTGTTTCATGTCCCAGCTGCTCTGCTTCCCATCCAGCATCTGTGTGGGTGCTTTGGGACGTACACCCTTGTGGGAGACCCAGAAGAAGCTCCTGGCTTCTGGCTATGGGTCAGCTCAGTTCTGGCCATTGCAACCCCTTGAGGAGTGAGCCAGCCAGCAGAAAATCTTTCTCTCCGTATCTCCTTCTCTTTGTGAATCTGTTTTTCTGATAAAAAATAAATGAATATTTAAAAAGGAACAGAAATCTATTCCTCACAGTTGAAGGATTCCAGTAAGACAAAGGTATAAAGATCGTGACCTCCTGAGACGACATTTGACCCCATGCTTCTCTTCTGGCTGCACGTTGGCAGCTGCAATGCTGTGTGGCACTTGGTTCAAAGACACATTGCTCCGTGAATCACGTGTTTCATATCATCTCCCCTGTGTGTGTGTGTTTACTCTTCTTCTACAAACACCAGTTATACTGGACTAAGGTCTCATGCCACTCTAGTACAACTTCACCTTAACTTCGTTTATGATAAATCCACATAAAAGGGTTCTGGGAAAGACATCAATTTTAAATGATGCTATTTAATTCAGTACAGAGGATAGTATTATTTCTGTGTTTCCATGTCATTGTGAAGGTTAAATTAAGCCACATAAAAAGCTCAAAAGCAAAATAAAGACATAGAGGGACACAATGCCTGCTGTTCATCATCATCATTGCCTTTGGATTCATTTATTAATTAATGGATACTTGAGTTAGATTATAAAGCCAAAGGCCTTTCTTGGAGGGCTTCAGGAGTTGATGGGCTGTGAAAATATCCTCCCCTTTGTTTACTTCTTGTTTAGTTGAAAGGGTAGGTGCTTCCTAGTGAGTCTACAGATAAAAGAGATGCTAATTTTCACTGTTTCCACTACAGGCCTAATCATCTCTCATTAGCGCATTCTTAAAAATGAGATTTCACATGAATGCACTTCTTTTTTTTAGAGATTTATTATTTTACTTGAAAGCCAATTATGGAGAGATATAGGGAGACCCACAAACACACAAGCATCTTCCATCTGTTGATTCATTCTCTAGATGGCTGGAGGGGCCAGAGCTGGGATGGCTGGAGACCAGGAGCCAGGAGCTCTATGGATTGCTTGCACGGGGGAGGAACCCAAAGTTGTGGTACATCAACTGTTGCTTTCCCAGGCCATTAGCAGGGAGCTGGACTGGAAGTGGAGCAGTGGTGAGCTCAACCGGTGTTCATATGGTATCTAGATGGGGGATTAACATGCTAGGCCACAGCTCCATCCTTACAATAAAGTGTTTTTCAGATGGAATGTTTGTGCCTTTCCCAGCCTCTTTCCTGTCCCTTTCCAATTCATATGTCTAAATCCTGACCTCCAAGGTAATGGTATTGAAGAGGTGAGGTCTTTGGTAGGTGATTATGTCATGAGGGTGGAGCCCTCCCAGTGGCATTAATGGCCTGATTTGCAGAGACCTGCCATTGCTTTTCTGTTTGCTCTGGACCCTGTTGAGATATGACAAGATGGCTTCTGTGAGCCAAGGGTTGAGTCCTCAGCAGACACTTGATCTTGGACTTGTCAGCATCCAGAACTGAAAAACAAATGTTTGATGTGTAAACCACTCAGTCTGTGCTGGTGGTCTATTGTAGCAGCCCAACTGGTGAGAGCAAAGATGTCCTCAAGTTCCATCTGCAACTGCACAATTCTCTTCAATTTCATTATTTGCACTGGAGTTCCACAAGACCAAAAAGTCAAGCACTAAAAATTTGAGGGGAAAGTATCTGATGTATGTGCTTTCGGACTTCTTAGCAATTTGTCAATTTAAAAATTTGATTAGTTACTCTTTGCAAAGAAGTTTATTTTTCTTAACTCATGCTTGGTTCTTGGCATCTTCTGCAGACTGGAGAAGTTGCCTTCATTCATCTGCTACCTCACTGTGCAATAAAATAGTGCTCTATTGCATACATATTTGGCTTATCTTTTTGTCCTTAGCCATTTGTGCACTCAAGCCACATTTATTGTTTTGAATTTGGAGGCAGGATAGACATTTTGCAGCTTGTCTACATTAGCTACTCAACTTTTCCAGGCTTTTGTCGAAAAATGAAATTTTGAAGGATGGCAACAAATGAAAGGTAAGTTGGAAGATGAAAGATAAAGGAAGTTAGATCAAATTGCTTCTTTTGTATTTTTTAAAATACAGATTATGGAAGTAACAATGGAACTAGAATTTTCTTTTTGCATTTTCCTTGAAAACGTCAAAATCATCCTAAGTTTTCTACTTACTTAATAAAGTTCTCACTTCTTCAACTCATCTCTTTTTCTCACGTCTGCTTATTTTCTGTTACATAAATACTTACAGGTGATCAAAGAGACTTGATCAGGAGAGAGAAGACCAATGATTCCATATTGTTGTCTTGGAAAGTGAATGGAGTTTATTACTTTTTCATTATTTTCAGTTCTTCTTTAAAAAGCATGTATTAAGACATTCATTCAACAGACATTAATTGGTATCTGACATGGGCTAATATGGTAGAATTTTCTTTTAAAGATTTACCTATTGATATTGGAAAGCCAGATCAGATTTATGGGCAGAAAGAGAGAGAAAGAAAGATCTTCCATTAGCCATCCGTTCACTCCCCAAAAGGCCACAATATCCAGAGCTGAGCCAAACCAAACCCAAGGACCAGGTTCCTCTTTCAGGTCTCCCATGCGGGTGGGTGCAGGGTGCCAAGGCTTTGGGCCTGCCTCTACTGCTTTTCCTAGGTCACAAAGTAGGGAACTGGATGGAAAGCAGAGCACCCGGGACACAAACCGGCACGCATATAGAATCCTGACACTAATAAGGTCAAGATTTAGCCATTGAACCATCGCTCTGGGCACAGTAGACTTTCAGTGTGAAAATAAGAATAATTGTTATTACAATAGCCAACACTCGGAGAGGGACCATTTCTACTTCAAATCTGGTAACTCATAGCACAGGATAATAAGACATAAATACTATAGATTAGATTTCTGCTGCATCTCATTAATAGTCCTGCAAAGTAAGAATATGAATTCTGACGGAAGTTGCATGCTATGAAGACAGTGTTTAATGAGATTACTTCCGGTGGCTGTTTGCCCTATAATATGGTCGAGTTTTGAGCATCTATATTAGCTTTTGAAATCGAGTCAAACATTGACACTCTCTGCTGTTTGTCTTCTAGGTGGCCGACAACTATAGACCCCCTGTCTCCACCCCTCAGTGCGTGGACAGTGAAGATATCTATGTCAACTACCCTACCTTCTCTCGCAGACCAAAGGCGAGGGTCTAGTTTTCCCTTTTGTTTGAGCAAATTCAAGACAACTATTATAAATATGGATCTTCATACCCAGCATCTCTACCTTGGAAACCAGTTCACCACACTTGTTTCATTTGATCGGAAAATTGTTGCATTATCTAGAAAACATTCTAAATGGAAATGCTTCAGAAAATCTGACTATAATAATTTATTCGTATGTGTAAGAAAATGTACTGAATCTTGTATCAGAACAATGCAGGGTAGTTCCAGCCTCAACAAAGGATGTCTCCGAAGATTTCCTGTTTCTAGAATTAAGCATTGGCATGGACTGGTGTCTGGATCCCTTCCTCAGTGCTGGGCTGGCATCCTCGATGTGGGCTTAACTCACTCAAGCTTTCCTCTTGGGCTTCCAAGTGGCTGCCAGTGCCTCGTGGTAATTCAGACACTCTTCTTTTGGTGCGATAGCGGGCTTGCCTCGCCAAGATAGCAGCCAGATTTGGTTATTTTCCTGTTGTTAAAAAGGTGCAATGACCAGAAAGGATGAAATGGCTTTAGTCAAGGCACGGTGCCGGCCGTTCAGAGGGAAAGGGAGCCTCAAGGATGAGGAAGTTACTAATAAACGTGGCGTGCCAGACATCTGGTAACTAAATGTGAAAAGCAGGGGTCTAGGTCAGTTCCTTCTCCCACTTGTAGAATCTGTTCCATCAGAACAGTGAAGAGCACCTGGCAGTAGTATATGGACACTCAGAAAAAGACAAATGTGACAGGAACAGCTCCTCATTTCCTCTTCTCACATTGATCTCTCAATTTGTGTGGGATTTTTACCACCATCCCAGCCCTAGCTTTATGAGCAGATGTAGCAGGTAGGTGGGCCAAAAGTAAAAACAAATAAACAACAAACAAAAAAACCCCATGGTTTTTGATATTTATTTTATACTCTTAAGGAATTATTTCTATCATAAATTATTTTAAAAGGGTCAGGCACTGAAGCTTAGCTAGATTTTAAAAAATAAGTATGTGAAACTAACTGATAAAAATGGTTGTTGGAAGTTGTGGTAAGGGATAGGAATTTAGAAGGAGAGTATTGGAAGGGTTCAGATGGAGGTTGGGAAACTAAGTTAGAGTGCATACTGAGATAAGCATCATTTTAAAAAGTTAAACACGATAACATAATTGCTTTCTGGAATAGCCAGATGGTTAATACAGAGGAGAAGGGACCCTATTGATACAGCTCTTGTTCGGAGTCAGACAGAGAGCTGTTTCCATGCTTCCTTCTCTGCCTGTTTGCACTCCCAGCCTTCTTGGTTTTCCCAGGGGCTTGGTGCCAGCCTCAGGCCTCTGCTGGCCCTCTGGCCTCCCTGGCTGCCCCTGGACAGCCAGCGGTGCTGACTCGGGAAGCGCCCTTTGCTCCTCTTCTTTCTCTGAATGTCCGTGCTTACAGACCACTTGGGTTGCGTCTCCTCGATATAGCCTGATTTGCTAAAGGTTTAGAATCTGCCTACTGTGGTAACCCTCCCTCACTATCACCATTACTTGTACCTACTATTTTGGTTGTTAATAAAAGAGCAGATCCACAAAATAAAAGATCAGGATTAGAATTAATTTCTTTTTTTTTTTGCAAGATTCTGTTTGGAAAGCAAGATTTCTTAAATTTTTAAAAATTGATATATATTGACATATTGTATAAATTCATTCTTCCTCCAAATATCTTTATTTTAATATTTATATTAATGTGAACATTGGAGTAAATTACTGTGTTGTAGGAAGGCAGGGAGGCTTGTTAATTGATGTTATAGGATACCCAGTTTTATTAGCAAAATAACACATTTCTACTGACTATGTATTGGCTATATTTCAGCAGAGACCCTCAAATTTTATTGAAAGGCTTTTATGTATGCTGAAAAACAGAACGGTAATTTCATGAACTTGTAATCCTGCCTATGAATGGAAGGTAAACACATAGTAATTTTCAGTTAGTACAAATTCATGTTTATTGAACATTTTGTTAATTCAGTCAATTTAAAGCTAACCAGCTATTCATATAAATTTAAACCAAATTAATCATGACAATATCAGGATGAAACATGACTGAGCTTGGCTACTATTAAAACATGCTGCTCAGTGAATGCTGACCTGTGCACTTGGGCCTTTGTGTAAGTTACTGTAATTTCTCACTAGTCCGTTCATTGCTATTATTCTGGTCAAGTATTTGAGCTCTGGTGCTTTTTAAATAAAAAATCAAAACAAGTTTGTTTTATTAGTGATCCAATAGACAGAACAGTGGTTTTTAGAATTAACTATAATGCTTTCTAAGAAAATTCTGTAACTGTCAAGGTTGGTTTACATACTAAGCGCTCCGGGTTCAAAGCACTAAGCACACCGCAGGGTGTGAGAGGAGCTGTTGGTTACAGGAATGACAAATGTCTGGGATAACGCTGGTTTACTGTCCTTACTTGAATGTTAAGTATTCATCCTCTTTAAAACACGGTTCCTAATTTTATTATGTAAATTCATATCAGTCTCTGTAAGGTATGTGAATGTTTGCCTTGCTGGATTGTGTTCTGTTATATTAAATAAAGAAAGTATAATACTCCATGAGCACTAATTTCTTTTTCCATCTTGGAAAGAAGCATAGCCCGTGCTTTGAGCTTGGACACTGCCTAGAACGGCTGCAGCTGAACGGGGCGTCGCTCCCCTGCATCGTCCAAGCCACACGTGAACATCCTTTTTTGACGTGCTTCATTTGCTCCAGATTTTGTGTCAGCAAGGAGGTAGCTGAGCTCCTCCACTTTAGGTTCCATAGAGGGAGGCAGACGCAAAGCCACGTCCAAGTAACAGCCACAGGAGAATTTCTCCAAGTCAAGAGCTTCTAAAATTGACAAATGACTTCGTGGTTTTTGTTACAATTAGGGGACCCAGTGTACCTGAATTTATTTGCAGGTCTACATACATCCAAGATCATTTTAAAATATATTTGTAAATAAATAGACAATTGGTAAATAAATAATTAGTATTTCTACCAACCTTCTTACTTGGTAGTCTTGAAATAAAATTGGGATAATGATATAAAGTGTTTCTATTATGTATGATAATTTTCAAACCTCCTATATTCCTTAATTTAATTCTTAAATCTATAGTGGTGGGAAAATAAATGTAATTTTGAATGACAATTGAAGAAAATTACTTGAAGAGAAGTTGTGTATCACACTATTATGTCACTTTGAGAAAGGAATTAAACAACTCCTGGAATCTCCTTTTCTAGGTGCTTCTGGGTTGGAATTAGCCAACGTTGGACTTCCTGAGGCATGGGAGATTGGTGTGAAATTTTGTTGTTTCTCTGTAGGTCATTTAGTCAGTAGGTGGTGGGCAGGTAGAAAGTTGCAGCATGCCCTTCCTGTACTGTACACCCAGTTCTTCCTGACTGATGCCCATGCCGGCCACGCTCCGTCCTAGTCATTCTTCTACGCTGGCGTCAGTACCTGCCTACTCACTTGTTAGTTCCAGGAGTTTTTCAGTTGATTCTTTGTAGTTTTCCACATGGACAATTATATCTTTCTTCCTTTTTAATATTCATGCCTTTTACTCCTGTTCCTTGTTCTGTTTTATCTAAGCCTGTGTAACTTCACTCTGTGTTGTAGATTTTGTGTCTAGAATTCACCGTTGTTGTTCTGGAGCCCTGATGATGTGGGGGTAAACTGTGAAAGGGCAGTTTCTGTAATCTTACCATTCCATTTCAGGTTCTTAGTTGCCCTTTGTGATATTCATAGAGTTTCTCCCACAATGTGGTCTTGATGTCTGCTCCCTACACCCACTGCTGTTGCCCAGTACTGCCTCCATTTCCTTGGAAAGCGCTCCCTGAAGACCTCATGGTGCTATCATTCCTGGAGGAGAGGCAGACAGTAGGAGCTCTGACAGAACTCTGTCTCTTTTTCTTTTTCTTTCTAGAGCCATAAAGAGTTTTCCTTGGTGTTCTTCCAGGGAAAGCCCAAGAAAGTGTGGAAGCCCTTGAGCTTCAGACCCCAGGAGCTTTTCATTCAGGCTATTCCATAAACAGACTCTAGCAATTTATCCAACATGGCATTTACAGGTTCCGCTTAGCTGGTAGTTTCACTGTTTCAGTCCCAGATAGGTAGCTCTTGGTGGCTGATTTCTCGGGGTGTGTCTTGGAATGTCAACACTGCCCATGACCTTTTAGTTTCTCCAACTTTTGTTCCTGTTGTTAGCACAACAAGGACATTTTCCTCTCTTTCTTTTTTTTTTTTTAGAATTATTTAAAAAATTTGTTTTCATTTTATTTTTCCATAATACAGTTCCATAGGCACTGGAATTTCTCTTTGCTTGTCTCCAACTACCCACCTGGCAACCCCCACACACTAATTTCCCCTACATTATTTCAATAGTACAGTCCTTCATAAACGATCATAAGTCTAGCATTCTGCTATTTAAGTGTATCCTGACACTGCAAGTATGGACAATGGCAGAATCCAGCATCCTATTGTCAAGACATATTTAATTTTTTTCATTGGGAATACATCTCTGATATGGAAGTAGAGATGCATACTACAAGCTACAATACAAAATCAACAACAGGAAGAAAAATACAAATTTATAATGCCATGAAGTTAAATAACATTCTACTGCATATGGTAGTCTCAATTACACAGTTACTATACATCCCCTTATAAAAAGGCATAAAATAAAATCAACAACAGGAAAAAAAAGAAATTTACAAAGCCATGAAGTTAAATAACATGCTACTGAATGACTAATGTGTTGCTGAAGAAATGAAAAAGAAAATAAAAAACAAAAAACCTTCTTGAAGAAAATGATACTACTGTTTGATCTATGAGTCAGTGAAGAATTCAGCAAGAAAAAAATTGCTTTGAAAAAATGAAAATAATAGTTTGTGGCTAATGCATGTTATGAAAAAACTGAATTTCAAAATTGTTTTGCTGCAATATAAATTTATCCTATCATTTCAGTTTTCGGCAGTTTAAAGTTGCTGCTTATGTTGTGTGGCATTTTGGTATCTGGCCTGTTTTTGTCCTGTCTTTTCTTCATGATGCAACGGTGTGGCTTGATTCTATTTTCTGTTATATTTATTTCTGGTCTGTATTACATTTTGGCCCATTTTGTGAATGAACTGAAATAATATTTCTGGCATTTGAAAAGTCATATATTTAAAATGTGCAAAATGAATATGAAGTAAAAATAAAGGGCAAATTGAACTCTACAGTGAAATCATCCTTGGTTTTCCTGACAATGCTGGGATAAAGATCAAGCATCATAAAAATGTGCAAGTTAAAAAAAGCCAAAAATGTGTGTGCAGCCAAAGGCAGATGGATACTGTGCCAGGTCTGCGCAAGGAGCAACTACTGAAGATCAACCGTCAGTAATTCCGATTCGTTGCATATCCACTACCAATGTGAGGCACTGCATGCCATGATGTTTTTAGGAATTCTGGTAAAATGAAGTATGTGTCACCGGGAAGTGTCTCACTTGTCTCTCGTGTGTTCAATATTCATTAACTTTAAGGTTTAGTCTTACCAAAGTCAAATGAGAATTACATGACTTTGGATAAGAAAAGTTGAAGAAATAATAGGTAGATCAAGTGTTGTATATATACTTTAATAATCTTGTAATGAATCCGTAATAGAAAAGAAGATGAGCAAATCGGAAAGCTGGGGTTGTACAGATCCTGTGCATCTTCAGTGCTCCCATGTTTATCAGTACAGTGTCTCTGTGTTAAAGAGCTCTTTCAACATTAAACACGGAAACAAGCATATAGATTTGTTTCACAGTTTATTTACTTCATATGGCCATGTGTTGAAATGCGTGAAGACTGTAACTATTACATTTAATTCTTTCTTCTCAAGCTGTACCTGCTTTCTCTTTATGTTTCAGTGGGGATAGCATTGACCTTAACATTTATTTCAGGCTACATTAACAAACAAACCAACAAAAAAGAGAGAGAAAAAGCCACTACTGCCAAAAGCATTTTACTATTTCTTTTATGTTAGGAAACAAGGTTGCTAACAATCAAGCAGTAAGAATCACATGTCATTTCAGCTACAGGGAGAATGTCACACCTGGAGAGGAATGAAAAAAGACCAATACAACTTCTCACCCAACAGTCAACCGCATTGACTTGGATGGTCTGAGTCATCATAATATTCTTACATATTTGAAATCATGCTCCAAACCCCATTCATAAACCCACTGAAACTCATGGTTAGATGCAGCATCAAAATATTATTGTTTCTAACATTAAACATCACAATAATGTCTCTTGAATGTACGATGTTTCTTTTTTTTTCACACCTTTTGAAGAGCTAGAATGCACAAATGTCACCCAAAGGGTGGAGTTACATTTTGTTCATGATTAAGTGAATATTTTCTACTAAATGCAATATTGATTTTACCTGAGATATCAAATGTCACCCCAATTCAGTCTGAGTGGCGCGCAGTATTAAAAATAGCACTGGGCATCATTTCTCATTTGCAAATTCCAAATTGAAAACAATCGCGTGTCAGCTGCATTTCTGAGCAGATCTCTCAATGGGCTATGTTTTTCAATTTAGGATGCCATCCCTTCTTTCTACTGAGGAAGTGTCAGGCAAGGGAGTAAAGGCCACTTAGAGTGTTGAGTGACATCTCTCCGCAGAGGCTGCTGCTGAGAACCAGGTTACTTAGTGGAATCGCCTGCTGCAGGGTGCCAGCCTTGGAGTCTTTCTCTGGGTGGGGGTAGACACCAAGCCCTGCCTAGCTCTCTGAAATGTAATCAGATAAACATATACACACTAAGCAGCAGGGTACATAATGTGTTGTTTTTGGGTGAGTTTTGTAACAGGAAGGGAATTGACAAAGCCAAATGGGACTCAAAGGGTATTCAGAGGACCAGAGGAGACCAGTGCGCCTGCTCTGACTTGGCTGGAGCCTTCTTTCCTGGATGCAGAGATCCTTAAAGAGGGATGAAATCTTACACTCTTTTGAATTACTGGGCATTAGAAGATGCAATTCATGATTTTAAAATCAAGTTTGAAATGGTCTCTATCCCTTCCCTTATAGTCAAGGGTTGCAAACACTCTGAAGTATCCGCAGTTTATGCATATATTGCAAATGGCCTCATTTGAACATTTGTATCATACGCAACGTTTGTCAAAGAAGAGATGAAGTTTCTTTTTAAAAGGAGCTTTTAAAACAAGTGTGGAATTCAAACAAGAGGTAAGTTGGGGATTTTCTTAGACCACGTTGTCTACCAAAAAGACTAAATATTTACAGAGTTCAGTTGCTGGTGTGTGAAGCTGCTGTTGCTTCTTGCAGCCTGCACACCGGGTGCCTGGAGCAAGCGCTGCCTTTCTGTCACTTTTCATCCAGTTTACTACTAATGTGCACCCAGATTGCCTGAAAAGATGTTCTATCCCATTCTTGCTAAAATATTTATTTTAATAATTCTGCATGTGGCTACAACTAGATAAACATATTTCTTGATTAACTGGAAAATAAAGCATCAGACTTTTCTTGCACATGACAGAGATAGTGAAGTGATGGCTATTGGGTGCTGGCTTGGATGTCTTGCCTAGAGCGCTTCATCTTCAGCTCTGAGCTATCACACACCTTTGCACTCAGTGAGGCCACTGTGTCCAGGAAGTAGAACCCTTGCGATTTCCCTTGTGACCAAAGGGGAAAGGAAACCCACCGTTCAAGCTGCCGACTTGTTTAAAAGTGGACTAAAAAAATCCATTTACAATAAACTTTTTAATTCAGCTTTTAGATAGAATTGATGCTCTCAGCATGGCCACCACTGAGCACTTTCAAGTTTCTGCTGGCTGCATGGAACTAAAATGTCTTTCTACAGTTTTTCATTGCTTTCTTCACATTAGTGTGTTTTGCTCCATCAACCTCCAGAAGATCGTGTTAACGCAGTCCACTGCTTCGACAGTATGGAAGCGTCATTATGCTGTTAAAGGCATAGACATCTAAAAGGGAAAATGCTTACAGCAAATTAATCTAAGAAACCAGATAAAGACTGAGAAGTATGTTTTGTCAAGTGATAAAGGTGCTGCTTCATGGGATGCAGAACAACGAAGGAAGCCATCGAACACACCTCTCTTTTGATGGTGGATCTGCCCATTTGGTGTTTATTTTCCCAAACCTACTTCAACCATTAGGAAGGAGGTAAAGGGATGAAGGAAATGACTGTTGCCAAGTGTTTAAGAGCATGTAGATCGCTTAAAGCCTTGGGATAGCTTTTAAATGTGAAATAAAAATGTAGATGTCATTTTCAATATCAATATTCTATGATTCCAAAACACTGGAATCAATCGAGTAAGAATTCAAACGTGGAAATGTGTAATAATATCCTAGCAACCTTACAGCTAATAAAGGACCTACTTTGAATTTATTTTGAAATGAACAGCTAGTAAATGAATAAGTAACTTTTTAAAACTTAGCAGAATATGATTGTCACAATTCTGTTTAATTACATAGTTACATTTCATCCATAACAGCAAAAATGTAAGGGAATCATATACTATTATAGGGATCCTAATAAATAAATTGTATGAAACATCAGTTTAGTTGTGCAAGAATTCAGTCATACAAAGTTGTGTAAAATGGTGGCTTTTTTGAACATCTTTACCTTTTCTTAACTGATAAAACAGAAATTTTAACACCATACAACTACGCATCATCCTCCTCACAGTGTCACCTGTAAACTTCTCAGAATTATAAAGAAAACATAACAGATTTATTTCTTAGGGATTAATTTATTGATGACTATAAATTCAAAAGGGAATTCTCTAGTTATGTGTT